TTCGTTTTTCCTATTGTTTATAATTTTCATCAATAACAATTAATTTCTATCGACCTCCATTAATTATTGACTTTTAATTCTTAGGAAATGAGTTTTCGTAGTAGAGTGAGCGTTTGCAATATATAAAGAATTTCATATTAGATATATCGGAGTTCGTTGTAATTGATTTTTCGTTCATGTCAACAGAAGCTCTGATTCAAATGAGTGGACTCAATCAATCAGCAAGAGTTCGTTTGATCGGATATTGACTAAAATTTAGTTCAAATAAATGGAGTCCACGTTCTATTGTATGATATATTTTATCGAGATCTTCGAGCGTTCTGTTCTTGTGAAAATATTCTAATATAACAGATTACAGTAGTGGAACTGTTGTAAGAAATAGAAAAAAATTGTATTACTACGTGTTCCTACTAGTAATTAATATCACTTTTAATATTTAGTATCATTGAAAATACTATACTGTTGAAAAAATTACAGTAATATTGTAAGGTGCTAGGAAGATTAATAATAAAAAGTTGATTATAAAATAACGCAGCAAGGGAAATAGGGATGAATATTAGTTGACAATACTTCAATTCAATTTTTCATTTTAATTTCTATAGAAAATGTACGTATATTTCATCAAAATTCTAGAGAAATTATAAGTTAAAGACATTGAATCCTTTTCTTTGCCGTGACTAGTCACACGGCCGAACTAAAGCATGTTACAAAAGAGAGGAAGAGATGCTCGTCAACTAGCTTTCCGTAATCATTTCTGTAAAAATCACTTTTGCAAAATGCATTTCCACCATGGAGAATGTTTTTATCGAGAAGAGAAGCGGAATATGTACGTTCGCGACGAACGTTGCACTGTTGTTACAATGACGGTTCGTAGTTTCGGACGGCAGGGTAGAAAAATCGCAAGTTACCAAGAAAGTTAAGGACGCCGGGCTCTTCTCGTTGTGACCGGCCATGCGGCGAAATTGAAGCGTCGCAAAAAGAAACAAAGAGAAGGGGAAGGGAAAAATAGTCAAGGTGTCCACGGAGCCGACTAGTCACACGGCCGGATTGAAACGCGTGTCGCAAAACGCGAGAAATAGAAAAAGAGAAGAGCAGACGTCTCTGAAGTGACGCGTCGTATACGCGACTAAACTGAAACACGTCGCCAAAGAGAAAGGGGTGAGGGTGAGGAGGGCGAAGAGGAAGGGAGGAGAAGAGAAACGAGAAGTAGCCTCTCGAAGCGTCTCTCAGCCGACTAACCATATTAAACTAAAACACGTTGCGAAATCGAACGAGCAAAAAAAAGAAAAGAAAAAAAGAAGAAAGAAAGGGAAGGCTGAAAAGAGGAAGAAATATACTCCAGGTATCCGCGCCTGGAGTAAGGCAACTTTTCCCCTTTTCTCTCTCTCTCTCTCTCTCTCTCTCTCTCTCTCGAAAGTTAGACGAACGGCGGGAAAGGAAGGGAAGCGCGTGGACGGTAACGGAAACGGGAACGTTGGTGCGTTCACGGGACTTGGGAATGGGAACGAGGACGGGAACGATATCGATGGGACAACTGACGGACCGTGTATGGATTACGCGTAAAGGGCAGTGCATCGCGTAAGCGAACCGCACCGGGCAAATTGAAGGTCCGATATTCGCGGAACAGAAGGGAAACAAGTTGACGCTTCGTACGAGGCTAGGGGTAGGAAGATCGGTCGATGCCGCTTGGCCGTTATTCGGACGACGACACTTCGCCTCCCAGTCCTGGCCGACCCTCCGCCATCCTCCCACCTTCCCCCGTCCTACCCCCGGCCCGTTACCCACCCCTGCTTACTTCCAACCATCCACCGCCACCCCCAATGCTGCTGCTGCTGCTGCTGCTGCTGCTGCTCTCTCTCTCCCCCTTTCACCTCCTCCCTCCCGACCACCGCTTCATCCTCTTCCTCTTCCCTCGTCCGGACGCCCTCCGCTACCTCTACCCCCCGGCCTTGTTGCGCCCTTTCCGTTTCCCCTTTCCGAAGTCTGCGAACCGGCAGCGACCTCGTGGCTCCGTCTCCCTACACTCCCTCTGTCTCTCGTCTTCTCTTCCACCGTCCTCCCCCCCCCTCTCCCCCTGTCCTTCTCTTTCTCTTTCTCTTCCTCTCTCGCGCCGGCAGGTACGCTGCTGTGAAGCCACCCGCTCCCCAACCCTCTTGCTCTCGTCTTATTAAACGGAGAAAACTACCAAATGAGATTTCCATCCGGCTCGAAACACGCCGCGCCCGCGAGCCGATCGCTTAACGCGCGGATCTAGGCGGATCGTTTACTTTTGACGTGACTGAAATTCGATTTGTAACGAGATAGCGGAACTGCGGGGGTGGGAGGGTGGATCTCGCCACTGTTCGACGACGAGCTCTGTACGTTACGTTTCGGTTTCTTTTCTTTTCTTTTCTTTTCTTTTCTTTTCTTT